GCAGACGACTTTCCTCAGAACAAAGGCATCAAAGAGCCAAACTGACCGGAAACCACACAGGCAGGGTGGGTCCACCTGAGAGAGTCCTCATGTGAGGCCTGGGGGAATCACTYGGCCTGGATGTCCCCAAATACTCAGCTTCACCTTCCAGACCTAACAGGGATCTGTGATCAGGAAACCAGATATTTTCCCCCAAGCTGTKGATATTTGCCAGCCTGACATATAACTTCCGGACGTCATCGTGAATTCTCCTGGTTTCTTTATATACACTCTAGTAAGAAGTCAGTAATCCAGTGCCCTTTATTATCTGTATCACAGTTAAAAAACTAGGATGTGAATAAAATGAAACAAAAGTCCCTGTGTGTCCCTGAGATGTCACAAAGCTCATACCCAGGATTTCTACCATGGTCTTGCTGGGTGAATTTAGGGAACTATTTATTCTTGTGTTAGATGCAAATCAGGCAAGGTTTCTGTACTGATCAGATCTCAGCAGGAAACAGATGCCCCCCCCCCCCCGCTCCCCACCCCTGACGCCCCAGGTACCAGAGGAGAGTTTAGGCACAGGTTGAGAGAAATCCACAAGGAAAGGCTAGGTGCCCTGGAGTCAGCAATAGTGGCAACAGTGGGGGGCTGTGACCATGTCCTCCACCCCAGAGGAGGAAGGAAAGTCTACTGGAGCCCAGAGAGTGGCTGGCAGCAGTTGTGGTTTGGGGGTGAAAACACAGACATTGCTGCTGTGAGGCCCAGCAAGTGAGAAAGCTGGGCGGGGGGTAGAGAACTCTAATAACACTTTCCTCCTAGCCTCCAACCTTAGCTAGGATTTTCAATTGGTCAAACCAAACTGAAGCATGAGGCATGGAGCTGGTTGATGTCATCCACCAAGGTCAAGTCTGGGAAGCGTAGGGAAGGGCAGAAAGCGTAGGGAAGAGCAGTAGTGGGTGGGGGACAGCAACCAAAGAAAGCCTGGCATAGTGATCTGGCTTAGCCATTCTAAAAGAGGAAGTTAGAAGTTAACCTGCTGTCACACAGTTCCCCAGCACAGATGCACAGGATGGGAGGCAGCCAGAGACAGAGGCAGCCATGGAAAGAGGTGTCAAGCATTCTAGCACTGTGGGGAACTGTGATCAGGGTCCCATCGTGGAGGGACAGTTAAGTTCTACTTAACTTAACCATTGCAAGGTGAACATGTATGTTCATAAGGAGGACTCTGAATCATCAACAAAGGCTAAATGTGGTCACTACACTATCAAACACTGTACTTTTATAGGACAGGGAAGATTACAACACAGCTTAGAGAGACACATTCATTCAAAAGAAATCCAGCAGAGTGAGGTGTGGTGTCGCACACCTGCCCAGCTCCTGAGGAGACTGAGACAGGAGGGTCACAAATTTGACGCCAGCCTAGAAAACTTAGGAAAATTCTGCCTCAAAAATAGAAAATAAAATGATCTGGGGATGTAGCTCAGTGGTATAGCCCTTGCCTAGCATGCACAAGGCCCTGGATTAGATCCCAAGAATTGCAAAAACAAACAAAAACAAACAAACATAGGTAGAAAAGGGCTTCCAGTTAAACATGCCAGTTTATCTATGTGTCCCAGTCCTGTGTCTCTCTTGAAGTGCCACTAAAATGACAGAAAAAAAATCAAATGGTATAAATCCTCAAAGGCAAAGAGAATGGTAAAGGAGACATAAGTAGTTGAGAGATTTCCACAGGCAGGACTGCAGAGGGTCACACAGGCGGAAAGCAAGCTACTTTATGCTCATACACTGGGGGAGCACAGACTGGGGAAAGCAGGGAGTGTGGCTGGTGGGATAAAGTACAGGAGCCAGTTGGGGGTAGGAACCAAGGGAACTGGCTTGAAATCCTCCCTAGGTCCTACCTACCCAATAGGAGAGACATAAGCTGGTGGGAGGACAGTTGGATATAGGGATGAAAACAGGTGAGGGGAGTACAGTCGCAGACTGATCAGTAGGACTCAATGTCCCACCACCTCACCCTGATCTGACCTAGGAATACATCACCTATATGGGAGTATGGTAGATTCAAAACATGGCTGCTAATTTTTTTTTTCCATTTCTCCCATTATGAAGTGGGTCTGTGTCTTCTTCCCTGAATCTGGGCAGGTTTGTGACTCTAATGGAGATGATGTACGTGGCTTCCAAGGCCAGGCCATATAGTGTCACACAGCTTCCATCTCGCTGGCCAGAACACTCACAGTGGAAACCTGAGCTACCATGTAAGAGGTCCAACAACCAGGCCTCCATGCTAGAAAGGCCACGTGTCAGCAGGCACTGTGGAGCCCCGCTTTCCAGCTATCCCAGTATAGTGACAAACCACCTTGGAAGTGGATCCTTCAGCCCCAGCTGTTCCAGCTCACAGCCACCATTCCAGTTGCCCTGGCCACTCCAGCCATCCCAACCTAGTCCTAGACATTGCAGAACAGAGAACAGGGCCCCGGGTCCCTGATCTGCAGCATAATAAGATGGTGGTTGCTTTATGCTACTAAGTTATGGGGTAGTTTGTTATGCAGCAATAGTTAACTGGAGCACGGCATTGGAATGCTTCTCTTGAGAAGCTGAATGACTCTAGAGAGGTGTTGATCCTTTTAGGATGACTTTTGGAATTCAGTAGGATTCCCTGCATGTTTTACTCTAGACAGGGACAAAAAACAGGTTTACTGAAGGTAGATCAGGAGCCACAGGGCTGAAGCCACAGGCCCCTCCTCAGATGTGCTAGAGGTCAGCTGCCTGAGCAACTGAAGGAAGCTGCACACAGTCATCATTGTCTGGAGCTTGGAGAGAGGGGCTTTATGTCACCATATCCTCTACCAGGGGCTCCTGAGCCATGTTGGGTTGGGGAAGGACATACATGCATGCTAAGGCTGAGCATTTCTTCTGAGGGGCAATCTCCGTGGGCACYAGCCCACAGAATGACTTTCCTTTCTTTCTTTCCCTTCACCCATTGCCCTTCCTCTTCCCTCTCCTCCCTGCCTCTGTCTCAGTCCTCAGCGCTGCCCAGGGGCTATATAGCTGGCATGTCTATTAAAGGCAAATGGACTGCAGGTTTTTCTTTTCTTTTTCCAAACTTTTCATGCTTTAATTACATTTAAAAAGTATATAACACCTCTCTAGAGTCATTCAGCTTCTCATCATTATATAAGTAGTATGTATTTCTTTCTTTCCTTTTTTATTGGCACATTACAATTATACTGATAGTGAGATTCATTGTCAAGTTCATAATACACATAACATAACTGGGTCAATCTCATTCCCCAGTACCTTTCCTTTCCCTCTAAGTAGTCTTTCTTTCTTTCTTTCTCTTTCTCTCTTTATTTCTTTTTTCTTCCTCCCTTCCTTCCTCTCTCTTTCTTTATGATTAAACTCAGGAGTGCAGCGCCACTTCCCCAGCTCTATTTTAATTTTTTAGTTTGAGACAGGGTCTCAGCAAGTTACTTAGGGCCTCACTGAATTGCTGAGGCTGTCTTCAAACTTGTGATCCTCCTGCCTTAGCCTCCCAAATCACAGGGATTACAGGTGTGTACCACTGTGCCTGGCCAGTAGTATGTATTTCTTGTAGAAAAACAACAAAAATATATTGGAAATCACCCATGATTCTACCAGCTAAACACACACACACACACACACACACACACACACACACACACACACACACTACTGTTGCCAGGCTTCTACACAGATAAAAAAAACTGTGGGTTCATGTCTCATCTGAACACCCTTCTGCTGAGCACTGCCACAAGTGGGCTGTGCTGCAGGTTTTAAATGTGCTAATTTTACCAAATCGTCCCAATTTAGAGGTAGGCATTCTATCCATTTGATAGGCAGGAGACAAACACTTAGGGAAGCTCATGTCTTGCCTCTGTCCCTGGCTGGCTCAGAGATGGGTGGTTTCCAACCTCAGGCCGAGTCCAGCGCTGCTTTCCTTGAACGCTATGCTCCCTCCCTCACGCCATCTTCACCTGGGTTTCACATTTTGTAAGTTGGACTGAAATTGAACACAAAATCTGAGGAACCCTATGCTGTAAAGATGCTAGTAAATTTCCTCTCGATCTAGAAGAAAATTGTCTTCGTTAGTTAAAAAAAGAAAAGAAAAAAAGCCAGAGAACTCTGTCAAGGCCAGATGAGTTGAGGTCTAAGCAGGAGTTCTGGAGAAATGGAGGGAGGCAAGGAAGGCAGAGTGGGAAGGCTGTCCCCAAGGGAAGCACTGCCTCTCTAGGTGCTGTGCGTTGAATGTGGTTTGTCCCCTCTGAAACTCACACTGAATCTGACTGGCACTGTGGCAGTGTTGGGAGGCTGGACCTTTAAGAGGTGAGGAGGTTGTGAAGAGGGTGGGTTTATTTTGAACCTGTCCCCTCCAGTTTTCTCTTTTGCATGCTTGCCACAGTCCTTCCACTTTCCCACCATGCTATGCCAGGCATGATGAGCAAGATAAAACCACCTGATCTTGGCTTTCCCAAGCCTCCAGAACTATGAGCCCAAATAAACCGTTTTCCTTTATAAGTTATCCAATCTCAGGTGTTCTGTTGTAGCAACAGAAAACGCAGGAAATAGTGGGTTTAAAGACCTCACTGCTGCTGGGAGTGGTGGCACACACCTGTAATTCCAGCGGTTTGGGAGGCCAAGGCAGGAGGATCACAAGTTCAAAGCTAGCCTCAGTAACTTAGTAAGGCCTTAAGCAACTTAGTGAGACCCTGTCTCCAAATAAAAAATAAAAAAGGGCTCAGAATATGGTTCAGTGGTTGAGCACCCCTGAGTTCAATCCCCCGTACCAAACATAAATAAATAAATAAATACCTCACTTAGTAGGGGGGACAGAGTTAGTAGTGAGGTATTTACTTCTGACTAGGAAGTCCACACTAGTCCCCTAGGTCATTACTTTATCCAGTTGCTGACACTTTCAGCATCCTGGTCTTCCTTGAATACACTCCAAGGTTTTTAAGTTGGGAAGTTCCCAGCTGGACATGGTCTTATTGTTTTCTTACTGTGGTGTTGTTTTCCATCAATAGCTTGCAAGCTCTGGCACCTGGAGAAAAAGGGAAAGTTAATGATGGAGACAGAACACTCAGGGTAGACCTCTGACCCAAGCAAGCCTGGGTGGAAGCTGAGGGATGCAAAGCTTGGCTGTGACAAGTTCTTCAAAAGCTACGAGGTGTGAGCTGGCTGCGTGCTGGCCAAGAGAGACCAGCATGTGGCTTCCACCCAGGGGCATTCTCCTCTGGGAGTGTTTCCTTCTCACCCAGCTTGTTAATCATCCAGAGCTGGCAGAAACCTCAGGGTTCTTTCTATGCTGTCTCAAAGCCTTGTATAAACACTAAGTGGTCCCTTCATTCATCTTCATGAATAAAGCTACTCATCAGATATTTATTTGAGCACCTACTAAATGCCAGGCATTGTCCAAGGGCTCTGGAGATACAGCAGTGGCTAAAACAGAAAAAAACCACTTGCTCTTATGGGCCTTGTGATCTATTGGGGGATGAACAACTAAAAATATAAATACATTAAATATTTGATAACCAGTGTTGGCAAGTGCTACYGAGAAAAGAATACAGCTTGAGAGAGGGGCTGGCAAGGAGTGTCTGGAAAGAGTGCCAAAACTCTAAGGACTGTGTCCAGGGAAGGCTGGACATCTGAGAAGGTAAATTGTGAGCAAAGACCTAGAAGAAGTGAGAATATGGACCTTGAGAATTCGTGGGGAAGCAGGCTTCCAGGGGGAGGGAACAGCAAGTACAAAGGCCTGGAGGAGAGATCCTGCCTGGCACATTAGAGGCCAGTGAGGAGGGGGAGTGGCCAGGGCAGAGAGGATGAGGGGAAGGGAAAGGGGAGGAAAGAGAGGGTCCAGGTAGGAAAGAGAGGCCTGGGCTTTGATTCCTAGAGTCACTAGAGGGTTTTATAAGACAAGTGACACAATGTGACTCATGTTTTAAGAGGATCACTCTGGATGCAGTGTTGAGAATGAACTTGGGAGAAGGATGGAACCAGTTAAGGGGAGATCATAGAAATCCTAGGAAACAACAAGCATGGCCTGGACCAGACAGGCAGCATGCAGGTGTGAGATGCGGGCAGATTCTAGAAAGTGAAGCCAGTGGGATTTGCTGATGGACTGGAAGTGAGATTAAAAAAAAAAAAAAAGAAGAGTGAAGGAGGACTCCAAAGATTTTGGCCTGACAAGTGGGAGGATGGAACTGCTGTTTTCTGAACTGTAGATACCTACAGGGTGGGGATGTTATAGGGAGATAGCTAAAGAACTCAGAGTTCTACATTGTTATATTTGAATCTGAAATGTCCCCCAAAAGCTCAGGTGTTGACAGTATGGTCCCCAATGCAGCAAGGTTCAAAGTGGGGCATTTAGGCAGTGACTGGATCAGTGAGGGCTCTAATCTTATCGGTTGATTGATCCTTCAAATAGATCAACAGCTGAATGGATTACTGGGAAGGAGGGACCTTGTTAGAGGAAGCAGGTCACCAGGAGTGTTCCCTACAAGAAGTTTCTTTATTTTATTTATTAATTGTGTGATGCTAAGAATCGAATCCAGTCAGTGTCTCACACATGCTAGGCAAGGGCTCTGCCACTGAGCTACAGCCCCAGCGTCTTAGAAGGTTTTCTTTCTGGCTGCCATGAATTGAGCAGTTCTTTACCACCCACTTCTACCATGATGTTCTGCCTCACCTCAGGTTCAACGGAATGGAGCCAGCTGCCATAGACTGAATCCTCAGAAACTGAGAGCCCAAAAATAGCTTTCCTCCTCTAAGTTGTTCTTGTCAGGTATTCTGGTCACAGTGATGAAAAGCTAACACAGACATGTTTCGTGTGAGATGTCTTTTGGACACTTGGCTGGAGATATCCAGGGGAGAGTCTGGAAATGAATATTTGTGAGTGTTCAGCATGTAGCTCTTCGAAGTCAAGATGACCATGATGTAGAATGGAAGTCGGTGGAGAAGCCATCCAAGGACGGCATGCCACTCAACAGCTCAGCAACTCAGTTGGAGAAGTAGTGGCAAGAACATTAGGAGAAGGGATTCCAAGGAGGATGGAGCAATCCACTGAGCAAAGTCCTGCAATACAAGGACAAAGAATTAACAACTGGATTTAGCGTCCTGGAGTTACCAAGATCCTGGTCGTGAGAGATTCAGTGCAATGGGTGGGATAAGCACCGGAGGAGTGAGTTCAAGAGAGAAGCTGAAGTCCTGAACTGGGGGACTGAGGTGGATGGCAGCCGCAGTAGGGCTGGAACAAAGGAACCAGGGATCATAGAATAAACCGTTCTCCCTTTACTTTCCTCAAGTGTGAAATGCAGAGCACAAAGCTGGTTCATCCGTGATACCCTTAAGTGGGAAGTGCCATTACAATGCTGGGCTAGGACCCCTGGGTGCCAGGTGTCACCATTTCTGGCTCCTCGAGTCAGATATCCCCCCCACCCCAAGATTCCCATGAAGTAATTCCCATTTTCTCATGTGTAGCTCTGGGATAAATGGCCATAGCTTGGGGCTGCTCAGCAAATTCTGTTTCTTACAAATTAAGATCTAGCCTTAGTCCCTTCCCTAATAGGAAGTCAGAGTGAGCAAGACAGGCAGGGGCCTCCCCTCAGGAAGCTTGTCTTCTGATGCAGGAGGTAAATGATCACCAAGTAGCAAATGAGCAGACAGGTCATTTCAAATACCAACAAGCACTCTGAAGACACGAAAATGGAGTGAAAGATAGAAAATAAATGCAGATAACCCACCTTCAGTCAGGCTGTGTGGTCAGGCAGACTCTCTGGGGGAATGACATTTATGACACAGCCTGGACAATGATGCCCAGCTGATTCTTGAGCTGGGCCCTACTCCACTGCTCTAAGGCCTCCCCTGTGGCATTTATAGTATTTACGTTCTTGGGACAAGGCCAGGGCCCAGAGTGGCCTTAGGTTCAGAGCCAAAAGGAAATATTCTTTYTCCCTTCTCTCTCTGGTTCACATTGTGGGACTGTTTCTCCATGATTACACAAGACACGCATTTCCACTGAAGACCAGGAAACTACTGAAAACAGAAGAAGGAAAAAACCAAGCAAAACCCCCAGAGTCACATAATTCTACTACTTGGAGACGGCTAACTATAAGTTGCACTTGGTATGTACCCTTCCAGACATTTTTCTATGCATATATAAATTTCTTTTTTTAACATATATTTTTTAAATTATAGGTGGAAAGAATATCTTTATTTTATTTCCATGCAGTGCTGAGGATTGAACCCAGTGTCTCACACATGTGAGGCGAGCGCTCTACTACTGAGCCACAATCCCAGCCCTATAAATTTCTTTTAAAAAAGGTATATTATGTTTTGTAATCTGAATTTTTAAATACATCTGTTATAAAGCACTCTTCTCAAGTTATTAATTTTCTTCTTCAAGATGATTTTTAATGATTGCACAGTATTTCATTACATATACATTGTTTCTGGTGATTGCTATTATGAGTAAATGCTCCAATAATCTTGTATCCTTTTTCTTAGGGGGTGGTCGTGGTGGAGGTTGTGAAACAGATTATTTCCTCCGGGTTGTGGCTTAGTGGCAGAGCGCCTGCCTCATACATGTGAGGCACTGGGTTCAAGCCTCAGCACCGCAGAAAAAGAAAGAAAGAAAGAAAGAAAGAAAGAAAGAAAGAAAGAGAGAGAGAGAGAAAGAAAGAAGGAAGAAAGAAAGTCATATATATATATATATATATATAAAGATTGCCTTTAAAAAAAATAAAAAGAAAACATCTCTTTCCAGTGATATTTTCCAAGGGGTTTCCAGGGTCAGTCTCTGCCTTCCACGAGTGGCATGTCCTGAGGGAAAGGGAGTTCTGGAGGATGAAGTGGGGAAAGCACAAGTCCTGGAGGCCCCCCGACTTGTTGGCTTTGAGTCCTTGCTCTGACAATTTCAGTTCACCCAAGACAAGTGACCACTCAAGGAAAATAAGCCCACTGCGAGGGACATGGATCTGATTTGTTGACTGTTAGATCTGCAACACTTAGCACGTAGTAAATGTTCAATAAATACAGGTCTCGAGGGAGCCCAAGGCTGAAGGGAATGAAGGGCAGAAGCTGAGCCCCAAACACGGGGGGCCACTTCCATCCAGACTCATTTAACTCTCTGACATACATTGGTCTTCCCTTTTCTTCCTTATGGGTTTAAGCTGCAGGAAAACCATAGTCCCTCCCATAAACCCAGAGAAATCCAAGGGGATTTCCCACCTCAGCCAGAAACAGTGTCCCTCTGGGGCCCCAGGACAAAGATGGTTCCCCTCCCCTTGGGGGAATTCCCTTGGGAAAGCTCCTCCCTCCATGGAGAAACATCCCAGTGGTCAGGCACTGGACCAACGTGGCTTTGGGTCAGGGCTGCCTGGGGATTGCTGGGCAAACAGAAAGCTCTACAGAAACAGCCTGTCCCCAAACCCAGGATTATTCCCAAATCCTGAAATTCTCCAAGGGACTGCCAGGCACACTCTGTGGCCCCATGAGGGGAGTGTCATGAGAGTTCTGGAGTGTGAGGTGGGAAAAGCACCAGCCTAGAAGGCCACCAGACCTGGCTTTGAGTCCAGCTCTGACTCATTCCAGCTTAGCCGGGGCCACCAGTGGAATGAGGGAGGGACATGAGTCTATCTTGGTGGCTGTTAGATCTGAAACACTTAGCACATAGTAAATGTTCAATAAATATGACACCAGGGCAACATGTGGTCCTTTCTGAGCCTGTGTTTGCTTATCTGCAATATGGGGATGGTAACATATCTCATGGGCTTGCTGTGAAGACTAAACAAAATGTGGGTAAGACACACAGGTGCCTAGTGCTCAAGAAATACAAGAGTCCACAGCCCTGGAGGGTTGTTTCTGCCATGTCCCAGGCCCCATGGCACAGAGAGGAAGCTTTGCAGTTCCTCCTTATTAGACTGAATTAGTTTGCTTCTATTCCATTTGCTGTCCCCACCCAAACATAGCTGGTATAGCATGCACCATTGTGCATGTCCAACCTCCTCACTCTACCTGCAGGCTTCAGGGCAGCTGAAGGGCAAGAGGCGTGCCTCTGTACAACACTAGGAAGTAAGCAAGGTCATTATCTCCATTCCACAAACAAGGAAACAGCTTTAGGAAGGTGAGGTGGCTTGCCCAAGTCACAGCAGGGATAGGCAGAACAAGACTTGAGCCTGTGATTCCTGGGCCTGTGCTCTGTTCTAGGTAATTCTCTTGCAAAGGGACTTGGGGGTGAAGAATAAGTGACCAATTCAATGTCCCTACAAAAAAGGCTGGCTGAACTCTAGATGGAAGGTAGTCTTTGGTGAGTCATCAAAGTACCACTCACGTGAGTCCCAGCCCACCTTCCTGTGGAGCATTATGTGTGCAGCAGCTGTGATGCCTAGGGACCCTGGGTTTAGCTGGGCTGGGACAGGCTGATGGAAAGGGGCAGGAGGCCAGGCTCCATCTACCAATGTGGAGTCCTGTCAGCAAGGAGACTTGGGGACCCTTAGCCCAGGTAAGGTGGCTGCAGGGCACTTGCTCCAGAATTGGCCTAGCTGCAGCTGTGGGGCAAACAGGGCTCCCGACAAGGGCACAAGTGGCTTGAGTTAGTCATTTCTGTGAGCCCAGGACCCACGTGGAACCTGTTGTGGTAAAAGTTGAATAAAGGATCCCTGAGTCCCCAGCATCAGGGACCAGTAGCTAGACTTAAGCCAGGGATGTGAAGGGAGGGAACAAGAGGTCAGGTAGGGGGATTTAATGACCAAGAATGACTTCAGTCTCCCTTCCCCCTAAGAAAATGGAATTGTTGGCCTGGGGTTGTAGCTCAGAGGTAGAGCACTCACCTAGCATGCCTGAGGCACTGGGTTCGATCCTCAGCACCACATAAAGTAAAATAAAGACATGTGTCCACCTATAATTAAAAAATAAATTTAAAAAAATGGAATTGTTTCAGGAAGGCATGTCCATGGCTGATTCATCTTTGTCTCTACACCACGCCTAGATTATGTTAGAGAGAACTGATAGTAAGTATAACTTATTGGTGGTATAACTGGAAGTCAGTTTACAGGATGACAGGTGGTATGTGCTTGCATGCATGGGCCATCAGGGAAAGGGCAAGTCCCACTGGTCTACTGTGTCCTGACTGGGATGGGCCTGGAGCGGGGTAGTGACCCTTTCYCTCACAGTGTGTGGCTCCCTTCCCAGCTGGCCTGTGGCTAAGTCTCCCTTTCTTAGTCTAAAATAGAGTCCATTTGGAGGAAACTACCTGGTTCTAGGTGATTCCCTAGTGGAAGAAATGGATTTTGGGTTGTAATATCCTTTCCTCTGGGAGCTCCCTAGGCCACAAGAAAGAAAAACACAGACCAGTTATCTCCTTATTGAGACTAAAACTGACACTTTTGCCTAAATGGTTGAAGTGACTTTTTCCCATCCCACTTGCCATCTTCACTGCATGCATGGATGGCTACAGATAATCCCAGTGCTTCATATTAAAAATACGCCTTGATGGGATTCTTGTTTGTCTGTTGGTATAAACCGAGTTGCCTAAGCAGGTGTGCTGCATGGGGTCAGCACAGGCCCAAAGCTGGTGAATTTTTCACCTGCTTGTCTGTGTAGCTTTAAGCTTCAGGCCAAGGATGCTCCAAATCCCAGAGTAAGACAACCTTGGAGACCAGGACCTTATGCCACCTTCATCCACCATGGCCCTACGTCTATAGAATCAACTTTAAATTCCTCGAACAGCAGCCAAAGGCCTACTGGCTCTGGCCTACTGTACCTGTCCATTCCTCCTCCATCCTGCACTTCACTCACCTGTGCCTGGGGTGAGGGCCAGTTGCCTAGACCAGCTGGATTTTGCTTAAGCCAGTGGTTCTCAAAATGTAGTCCTCAGACCGAGTTCATGAAAAGTTCAATTTGTAGGTCTTTTCATTTATAGATGGTGCTTTTTTTTTTTTTTAAATCCAGCTTAAGCAATCTTTATCTTACTTAATAGCAATAAGTCCAGTGAATACTGCAATAATGATGAAAATTATTAGTATCAAACAACACAAAGTGAAGGAGAAAGCTTGATGGTGAGTGTGGGAGGCCTG